TGTCTGTGTGTCTGTCTGTCTTTGTGGGTAGTTGGTGTGGTCCAATATCAGCTTACCATCTGAAAACCAAAACTACCTGGATCTTTCCAGACACAATCATCAATTATCCGTCTGGCCCACATCCACAAGTGCAAACATGTCCACGTGCAGGCATGTGCGCTTGTCTGTGTTGATCTCGCCGTCGTTCTCATCGTCAAGAATGCCAAAGAGCATTTCCAGGTCCTCGTCGCGCAAGTGCCCGTTTTCATCAGTTTTCAGAGGGCAAGAGACGACAGGTTCTAGAGGAGTGCGAGCTCGTATGTTCGGCCCAGGCATGCCTCTTTACGTCCAAAGGCGAAGCACCAGACAAGTAGATCAAGTTCATCTTCATCCGTGCGAAATACCACCGCAAAGAACATGTGAAATTCCTGTAGGCAGAAGCCGCCCCCTCATCCTAAACAAGTTGTCCTGGGGCCCTCTGGACAACATCGCCAGGACATGTTTTGTCCGACTGGGACAAGACAAGCCAAGAGTAAATTAATCGGCGGCCAATCTGTGGCTCATTACGGCACATTTTGGTCTCGCCGGTTAACTCGGCTGATGTAGCATCGGGTTGGGGTGCATAGGACTGCAGGGGCACTCGATCAATACTTGTGGCTTGCATGGCACTCCATACCAACAGTAGAATTCTCTGCGAACGACCAGCATCTGGAAGACACCAAAATCCTTGCAGCCTTATTGCGGCCTTGCCTTGAAGGGTATCTGGAGCAGCTTCAACCGATCTTTGACCCGATGATTGCCTTTGCAGCTGTGGCCCCGCTCATCTCCAACAAACGGAGATGGGCAACATAGCATACCACAGACAGCCACAGGAATGCGAATATGCCCTACACTCGATCTTTACATTTACACTGTCGGGCGCACTAGGAAACACCGAGACAAAGACCTGATGAAAAGCACTAGCTATTGATTACCAGCCGTACTTAAACCAAGAACAAACTCGAGCATCCATGTCCGGAACTCCCTCCAGTAACCTGTCCAGCTGTCCGAAATGACGGCCGCTCACACCCAATTAAATTGGTGATTCCGGGTCTTCTCCCACCCACACTCGGCACATTCGAGCGCGCGCAGATGCGTGCGCGCACGCCGACATACACAACCACAAATACGCACCGCTTCCGAGACCTGTGGCTTGCAGAACAGATTGCAGCAGCAGTGCAAACGGCGAGGATAATCAATGCACAGCGAAAATGCTAGATGCCATCTTATGTTCATCGCCACTGTGCAGGTACACACCGGTGGCCGACCGGTGCTCCCCCGTCCTACCATAGCTTCGTTGCGTCAGATGATGGGCATGACGCCCCCGCTGATTGAAATTCGCGAAACATCCGCAGCACCCCAGAAACCTTTAGCTTAGAATCACGTCTGCCACACACACACACACACGAGAACACCGCACATGATCGCCAGCTGCAGCAATTGAAACTCTGAGAGACATTCCAGCACCCCATAGGTCGAGTGCAGGTCTGCTCGTGAGCACGTGCATGTTTGCATAAAGCTTCGATCCAAAGCACGGAAGGACGCTTGCAGTTCGTCCTGCCCCATGGAAAAGAACGCTCCAACTGCTTCGGGCTGAGATCCATCATGGTTCAGTGCGCAGTACGTGACACCAAGTCCTTGTCCAGCCGTCCAGACTTGTCGGTGTCTGCTGCTTCGAAGATTTCGCGCATGGATTGCAGCACCTCATTAAACAGACCCACCAACATGAGCTTCACTACATGCATCTGTTGGCAAGCCAAGTGCCGGACCAACTTATCAATTCGCTCCTTCACCTCGTCTGAGTCAGCTACAAAGTTATGCAGGCACGTCCCCCTCTTTCCCAGGGCTGCCGATGGAACACAAGTTGAAACCAAAACCGAGCTGCCTTCTTCTCTCGATCTGCCGTAGCTCGCGCGCTTGATAAGGTGCTCTCCTCGAAGCAGGTGTGACAGGCTCACACGAAGAGGTGTAGCTAGCGGGCGTTTTCAACGATGGAGTCGCCTGAATGGAGGGTCAATTTTGGAGCCCGCATATTGCAGGGGTTCAGACGGGCGTAGGTTCGATCATCTTTTGCTTGCATTGTAGGTCTGTGCAACCAGACTCAAAACCATAGCAAAGATGGCCTTCTGCAAAGTATCAAGAATTCAATTGTCAATACCTCCGATGGTCGCCACTACCGCAGTGTCGAACCTGACCTTTCATGACTTTACTCTTCACGATATCCGTCTGAGCATTGATCATCAACCTAACCACCTTAGCCTCTCTTTCGCCAGGACGGCGGCATCACCACGGCGACCACAGTGGTCATCATCATCATCATCAGCATCAGAATCATCCGGGTCTTCTTCGTCAGGTTGGCATAGGTCGGCATTTCATCGCCGTATCTCATGATGGCTATCATCATCAACATCATCATCATCATCATCGTCGACATCATCGAGCCCCTCAGAGCTCACGCAAATTAACCCCATGCCTGCCAACACTGTGGCATCACTCGACATGGTGTCCGCTAGAGTGGCCGAGCAACTGTACAAAGAAAGAATTCTGGCCTGAAGGTCTACTGTAAGTCGAACCAGTTGCGAAGCTTTATTGCAGCCGGGCTGCAACGACGACACCAATCACGGAGTTCATCAGAGACTCAGATCACAAGTCAGGAAATGGGGACTACAGTAGGTGCTGGATGGAGAGTTCTGCATTTGGTGGTGTTTCGGCGTCTTTGCATTCGCTTCCGCTCACCCACCGCCACCTTGGGGGCAGGGATCAAAAAAAGTAGAAAAGGATCAACAAAAAAATAAAAAGGGATCAATAAAAAAATAAGAATCGGATCAAAAAAAATAAAGCTCAATCTTTCCCTGGTCCCCTGGTCCCCTGGTCCTCTGGTCCCCTGGTCCTCTGGTCCCCGGCGTCAAGCCCCCCCCCCCCCGGGAGAGCAAAATCCGGCTTTGGCCTAAGTGCAACATTTCATGCCGCGCCCTGCGCTCCGAACTTTCTGTCTCCTTGCGGGAACCCTTGTAACATGCAGGTGGCTGAGCAAGAGCCATGGCCTTTACGGCTGCGTGCACCGTTCACCCACGTCGGGCAAGTTGGCATGCGGAAAGGCAATGTCAAACATGTCCCGTTTACCCAGTGGAGCCAGTACCACCGGGAATTCCTTCTGCACACCAGCCTGCTTGAAAACGACTTCCGGACAGAGCGAGGCTGGCGCCCTGAGTTGCAGCACCACAGCCGGCGCAAAAGACAATGCAGAGCGGTGACTGCCCTTGCTGCGAAGCTTTTAAGAGCGGTTGTCCACTTGAGAGATCATGCCTCTGCCTTCTGCAGATCCGTCCGTTCCGCGAGACCAGCAGACCACCAACAGACACCGGCCCTCAGAAGACCAGCCAGAAACCACCCGAAGACGCACCCATGACGAAGAATGGGCTACGACTTGCTTTCCCTCGTGATAGAAGCATCGGTGGTGTTTCGGATAGAAACCTCGTATCGATAGAATTGCGCAGGATACATGTGCATCTGGTCTGTGCCGATCGCATGTGACTTGGAATGACTCGGCAAACTCTTTGAATGCCGTCGCCATTCTGGATAAGTCCCACGATAGGGAGACTTACCCACGAGTTGGAAGTCACGAATAGCTTGAGAGAAGACCAAGCCCCATAAATTGGAATTCAGAAATAGCGTGAGAGAAGACCAGGCCCCACGAATTCGAGTGCTCCAATAGCTTGGGAAAACCAGGCTGCACAAATTAGAACTCACGAATAGCTTGAGAGAAGACCAAGCCCCACGAATTCGAATTCCCCAATAGCTCGAGGGGAAACCAGGCTGCACAGATTGGAATTCACCAATAGCTTGAACTGAACAAAGTCCTTGGCCGCACCTCCGAAAAACAGGATTTGTAGCGCGCAGCAGCAGTTTTACAGCCGTGACAGCCCGGGTTCGGCTTTTACTTTTTAAATTGATCCTTTTTTATTTTTTTTGATCCTGGATATTTTATTTGTGTTGATCCTTTTTTATTGTTGTTTGATCCGGCAGCCACCGCCACCCACCCCTCCGCCCTTGCCCCGCCCCAAACCCCACCATGGACTGGGATTATGGGCGTTGGAATCAACCAGGAGTCGCGTAACAAGAAGACGGATTCACGATATGCACAGATACGGGATCAACCGCCGTCGCCTAATGAGGGGAACGAAGGAAGCAGATTGAAGATATGAAAGCAACCACCAACGCATACTGAGAGGGCGAGTTACAACGGGGGATCAACCGGAATAGCCTACTGATCAGGGAGCGGATTTGAGACATGAAATCAACCGCACTCGCCTATGGGGGAACGGGGTTCAGGTGTGAGATCAACCGCACTCGCCTGATGAGGGGCCATGTTTAAGATATGTGATCAACCACACTCGCCCACCCAACCGCCATCGTCTGTCTACTGAGGGGGGCGTGTTCAAGATTTACGAGGATGGTGGGCTGGTGGACCAGGAGCAGCACGGAGTGCGACTGCCTCCCGCGAATTTGCGTATAATCTCGGCCCAGTGCATCTGTTGCATCTAGCCTACAAACCGTGCAGCCTCTGCTCGAGTTGCGCTACAACCCATTCACACGTTTGGTCTCAGTCATGACGGTCTCTCGAGTATACCGCGGCAACCTGCAGCCACCAGGCCTTCCACGCTTCACATCCCGCACTCTCTCCGTTCTCAGGGTGGGACCAGGCTGGCAACCGTCAGGAAGCAGATGAACACCACCATTAACCCTGGATTCCTCGGCGGATGGCTTCATTCCACACCTGCACCCTCGCTTTTGGCAGAAAGCTCAAGTCAGGTCTGTGCAAGGATGGCTGGGGCAAGAATGCTGCGGCTAGCAGTCTTGGCTCATCTTGCAGCTATGGAGCTCTTCGACGAGAGGCCACCTGAGCAATCCATCAAGCAATGCTTGAGCGAGGTGAGCGGATATGGGGTAGCAGTCCGACAGGGAGAAGATGCTCAACATTGTCTAGCGGGGCAAAGCAACGGTCGATAAGAACTGGCTGCCTGCCGATTCTGCAAACAAACACCCACTAATTTTGCGCACAAAGCCACACCAAGGAGTCCGACCACTTGTCGCGCGTCACAACCTGCCGCTGCCACATGCGAATACATGCTCCAGCCTACAAACCGAGCGGCAGTGGTGGCAGCAACAACACGGCAAAAGACTACCGCGAAAGATCCGTTTCTAACAACACAATTCGTACAGGGTTTGCAGGGGCCTTCCACCCATCCTCCCTAATCCAACGGTGCAGGCTTCCTCTTCACAAAAAACCCACAAAAACACCGAGAGTATTGAGAAGAGGGCCTGAACTCTGCACCCAGGTGGTTGGGACTTCAAATCTCAACAGTCTTGATCGACTCAACACCCGCTCTGCCTGGAACAGGGAATACCTGGGCAACTGCAATGCAGCGACAGCGACACGGGCACAGCTGCAGCAGCCACAAGCAGGGCAGACGACGCAAACCACCTTAACTCACCGAATGCACGACACATTCTTCCTGCTTCCAGAGGCACGAACTGCGGAGGACACTTCCCCAGTACCTCGAACAACATGTGCGCAGAGGTATGCAGAGGCAGAGCCGAAAACGAAAGGCGCGATCGCAAGATCGGCATCATGTCAGTGACTGCAGTGCAATGCATCGTGTTAGCTGCCTGGTCTGAGGTTAGGAGCATTGGGAGCCACCTGTGTTGCATCAGAGGTTATAATCCGTGACTCCTGTGACTTGTTGGTCTTTTGCTCAATCTTGATTACAGGTTGCTCATCGAAGTCCCACTCTGCACGATCCAGGTTGAAGTCCTCAAAAGCTGCTTCTGACATCTTCTGACCAGGTTAGGGGCTTTGGGCAACACTTCAAAACCTGGCCAACGTAGTCTCGCTCCAGCTGTCTTCACAGCCGAGCTATGAAGCATTGCAGGCCCTTGCTTTCCTCTTTCTTCTGATCCAGCACCGCCATGGTGACCCTGAGCGTTGGGGAAACACTCGCGGGGGCTCCATGGTTCAAGCTCAAGCTGACAACCCACCCTTTCTCGCATGAATATGACCGAGGAACAAGATGCCGCAGACCCAAATGACGCCGATGATCATGACGCCGACCCAAAAGAGCGTCCTCAGGAGGCATGATAGCATGTAAACTCGCCCCGCGCTTCCGCGCAGGTGGCTGTCCCGAAACACAAGCATTTCCAATGACAGTCGAAAGACCACTGCCAAATACTGCCAACATGTAACATGCTCTCACAGCCTCAGGACGTGTGGCCCATCGGGTGGCCGAGGAAAGAGCTGTCCCCAAATGCACAGAGCATGAACATGTGCTTGAAGGGTCGGTTGCAAGTGCCAGTCTAGATGTTTCTCTACCCTTCTTGGCACGGCTCCACATGGTCTCGCCGAGTGCGGAGACGACTAGCCAGAGTTCCCGAAAGGATGCGTTGAGCTGCACTTGCCTTGGCATCATCTGATTTCACAAGCATCTCTTATTCGATCCCACCTGGCCACTCAAGTCACAAAACAACTGAGGTCGGGGCTTGACGGCTCGAAAAACATGAAAGATCCTTTCGGGCTGAAGTTGGCCGAGGGCAAGCGCCGGATGATGCCATGTACGTTAGAATCGCCACTTGCAACTTGCCTGAAGGCACTCGCAAACTTCAGGTTCGAGATGACGCCGAAAGGGGCCAGCAGCCAAACATCGACAACTCGTAGAAACACCTGGGTTATGAGGCTTCTTCAGGCCCCGGGGTTGACCGAGCACATCCCAAAACTCGGACTGTCGTTGCTATCCGCCTCGTTTGCAAGCAGGCGGCGAGCAATGTGTCGATGCAGTTCACGAACTCTATCCTTGAAAGGCTCCGATCGATCAGATTCCCAATCGCAATTTTCACGCGGTGACTCTCTAATGAATATTTCGTGGACGGGATCAACTTACAGGTGGCTCGCTAGGATAGCTGCCGCACAGGCGTAATCTGAGAGCCCGACGGGATGAAGTCCTGGTCTTTTTTAATGCTTCAAATTGGCAAAGGGGCGTGCAAACTGAGCTCTGACTGCTGGAAGGACTGGCGACGGCATGCAGAATTGTTACAGTCAGTGTTACAGTGACAGCATGTCAACTCGAAGTCTATGCTCAACAGATCGCACGTTCTCAAAGCAGATACCCTCCAAATGTGCAACAAAATCTTGATGTTCATGCAGTGTCTTCCCAGTCCCGATTCGGTGGTCCAAGAAAATACAGGCGTGGCCCGGTAGCGAGAATTCGAATTCCCACATCCAGAACGAAGAGTGCCTGGGCTCGGTTGCTGCGGATCCGATTGCGTGCGAGACAGTCCAGAGGTTCTGTGCAAGTGCACACACCTTTGCTCGCAGGTCGCGCGTAAGTGATGATAATAAGCAAGAGCTGCCGGAGGTGATGCTGCTGCTGCTGCTGGGCGGCGACGGCGGTGGCGGTGGTGGTGATAACCACGAGAGTGAAGATGGTGGTGATGATGATGATGGTGGTGGTGGTGGTGAAGGTTGTGATGTGCTGCTGGTGCTGCCGCTGCAGCATGCTCACGGTGGCAAGTCCTCGACTGCCAAGTGGCAATGACCACAATGCGAACAGGAAGATGAGAGCGGGCTTCTGGGCTTGGCTGCC